CATTGTTGTGCACTTTATTTTGCTAACTCATAGCCATCTCCCTGAAACTGAAAACTACTCTTCAAGATCAAAATCCATCTGCTAGTAACTCTCCTATAATAAGCATGGACAAAATTGCAACTCACTGTACTTCACAATACAGCACTTCATGTATTTTATTATTATTATTATTATTATTATTATTATTATTATTATTATTATTATTACTAATATTTTAGTTTTTATCAGCTTAAAGAAAATCAAACAGGACAGTCTTTTGGGTATATTGTAATGAAAGCTGGCATTTTGCTTAAGTAGATTAGCCCTTAGCTCTTCAAAAATGAATTTCTCAATACTTGTTCACTGGCTGAGGTCATTCCCAATGGGGATGCTTACATTAGTTGTGAACTTCTGCTGAACTTCCCAGTCATCCTGATCAAAGGCACCTTCGATGCATCCCATTGGATAGTCTTAAATGCCACCAGCAGCTACCAGTGAGATGGATGTCTGTGTTAAAAGGCATAAGAAGCCAGAAGGGGCTTGATGAGTGACAACAGTATTACCATCCTGAAGTGTGGATGAACTGAGCTCAACAGGTAGAGCTCCACTGACTCACTCTCACAATCTGGGGGCTGGCTATTTCAAGCTTGGTGTTTGTGTCCTTCTGAATCTGGGCTTCACTGTGGAGAAGGGAAGCATTCCCTTATGCATTTGTTGTCTGGCTTCCTCGTCTCCTCACATATTCATCTTGCCTTTAACTCTCAGGACTGACTGTCACAGGACCATCCTGTGCTTTAAAGGGAAACTTCAGAACTGAAGCATTCAATTGTCATTACAACGTTAGAGGGTTTATGCATGATGATGTAGTGTCTGTTTTCCCTTGGTAATGACTGAGAAAGTAAAGCTATTCACTTTGATAAATGAAGGAGCTCTTAGAGAGAAGAGCAGTGGTTTTGTAGCTAGCATCACTAGAAAGCTGGAGATTGCCTAAGTCCTTGTGTCAGGAGCACCCTCCCAAAGAACCAAAGGCAGATGAGAAGGAAGGTTGAGGGACCTGGAGGGAGTAAGAATGGTCTGTCTTGCTGCATGAGGGGAGATTGGGTATACTGAACAGAGAAGAAAGCCTGGCTTCCTGCAGACTTTGATGGATGTGGGTCATCTATGGCATACCACCCTGAATGTGGCTGATCTCACCTGAAGTAGGAGTAAACATGAAAACTGCTCGGGGTTACATGAGCTGTAGGCACATAAACCAAGTTATGTTTCCTTGAGCCAATCAAACAAGAAGGAATTGACTGCACCTCATTTCCTGTTCTTTAGCTTTGTAGTCAGTTAAAGGCTGTTCTTTTTTTAATTATTATTATTATTATTTTTTTATTTTTCAAGACAGGGTTTCTCTGTGAAGCTTTGCACCTTTCCTGGAACTCACTTTGTAGCCCAGGCTGGCCTTGAACTCACAGAGATCCACCTGGCTCTGCCACCCAAGTGCTGGGATTAAAGGTGTGCGCCACCACCTGCCCGGCAAAGGCTGTTCTTTTTGAGTCAGGGGGTAGTCAACCACACTCATGAGTTAACTGTCACAGCCTTTGTTAGCTTTGAATGAGGAGAACAGCTATTGCATTTATTGCCCTCAGGTACTCTTTAGCCATGTGCCCCTGTTAAGCTGTCTCTCTGAGAATCTGCCTCCTTCCCTAATTCCCCATCTCTCATCCTACCTCAGCAATGACACCTATTCCAAATCTGAGCTTTTTTCCTTCTTTCTCGGGTCTTTGCAGTATATTGCTAAGAATAAATGTACAATGATGAGATGTCTCAAATATAAAAGTGGTTTTGCTTATATGATCGCTTCAAGTCATATCAGTGGTTCTAGAACTATGTAGAAGGACATCTATCATTCTGGGGCCTTGTTTATGCTAAATTTGGATCCTGTCTGCACCATGAACACTCTTCTCAAGCCATACAATCTTCTAGAACCCCAACGGCACCAGGTTTACATCATGGTCAACATGTTACCTTGGGTGAATGCATGAAGATCAGTAGTAATACATAACCATTGCTATTGGAAAGATTTTTTGTAAGTATAGAAAATAAACAATCAAGATTCAGTTTGATGTATTATATTCCATTCCAGTGTTAGGGTGCAGTTACATATTATCCATGTTGGCAATTCTGAAAAATAAAAGATGTTAGGCAGAGATGGGTAGTTGGCTCAGCAATTAAAGATGCTTGCTACTCCTGAGGACCCAAGTCCAATCCTTAGTACCTACGTTGGGCAGCTACAACCACCTACATCTCCAGCTCCATGAGCCTCCATGGGCACCTGCAGGCATGGGCACATATACACAGATCCACATACCTACATACATAAGTGAAAATAAAATGAATCATTTTTAAAAATAGCATCATGAGACATGTACCTTATCAGAACTGTCCTTGTTGGGGAATGTAAATTACAAAAGAGGAAAAAAAAAAAGAAATAGAGATCTGAGATTATAAAATTAGAATTATTCCATGTACAAGGTAGAGAGCATACCACATGTAGCTTATTTATTCATTCTTGAATCCTCTTTCTCTGTCCTCATATCCTGAGGGTCAAGGATTCGTCTCCAGAAGCTTAGTTAAACATTTCTGAAGTTTCAATGCCCTTCAACTTAAAACAAAAGTTTTTTTTTTTTTTTTTTGCATATGGATTGTGGAGCTGGTACATTATATTTTTTTACAACTTTTACATAAAAAAGAAATAAAATGTCACTGTTTTAAGCAAGCTGCAATAGAAGAAGGTGGGTGGCAGAGTCTGAATGGATGTGTTCCTTTAGAACGTTGGTTTCCAGGGGCTGAGACAATGACGACACAGCACCAATATCGCTACTGCAGAGAACGGAAGTGGGGTTTCCAGCAGGCTACCAACTGCCTGTTACTCCAGCTCCATGGGATCTGACGCCCTCTCTGGCCTCCATGGGCACCAGCATTCGTGTGCACATTCCTACACACTGGCCTACGTATATGTACAATTAAACGATAAAATCATTAAAAATGTTGATTTTGAAATCCCCAAGTGATGGCATGAAGAGGTGGGACGTTGGAGATGAAGAATTCATCAGTACAAAGTCCCTGATGAATGGCATTGGTGTCTTTATTAAAGAAGCCTACAAGTTTGGTTGTCACTTCCAGTAGACACGCTCACATACAACGCATGCTCTGTGGAAACAAGACCTCACTAGACACAGAGATCTTGGGCTTTCTCCTACCCGAGCCCAGCTCTGTGAACAATATATTCTCTATGTTACCTAGCGTGAGGCATGGTGCCTAAACAGGGTATGATCCAGAGTTAATTTACAATCATGTCCCTCTGATTTTCTGCTCTCTAATTTCTTCTTCCAGCTTTCTCTTCAGTCACTCCTATCCAAATACCTATAGAGAATGCATACAACATGCTCTTAGAATATGGCCGCCACTTACCTGTCTCTACATCCTTCCTCGGTTACCTGCGTCCTAACACATGAAGACGACATCTGTGAAATTGTCTTGACTCCAGAGAGACTTCATCTATAAGTCTGGAACATAAAGATACACTGGCTCCAACCACAAGGCGTAAATGCAGAGCAAGAAGCAAGGGGAAAATGCAGGAGATAGACTGACATATGGAAGATAAGACACAAGAAGAGTGGAAGGACCACGGGGGTTGGAAGTTCTACCATGGTCATACATCCTCCTTGTCCCCCGACTGCATCCCTGTGGCCATTGATGCCGAGTGACACAGAATTCAGATTTGAACAAGGAGGGCAACAGAAGAGGACCAACCAAAGAGGCTTCTTCTTGTGGATAGCAGCAGAGGAAGGAGAAGAAATCTACCCAAGGCCAGCAAGACTGTGGTGGCTGGATAATGAATGTCACCAATGGAGGAACCAATCAGGCATCATGAATGTCCAAGACCTCCTATTTTGCATGTGTATTTAGCATATCATATATAACACAGAGTTCCCTGGGGCTTTCTATCCACTCATACTTTGTTCATGAATATACTTCTCTCTCTCTCTCTCTCTCTCTCTCTCTCTCTCTCTCTCTCTCTCTCTCTCTCTCTCTCTCTCTCTCTGTCTCTTAGTGTGTCTTAAATATTACCAATTTCTCTGCTTAACAAATTGCATGCACTTCCTCCATCCAATATTTTTCTCATCTTCCACATCGTAATATTTTTGAATCACACAGCAAATACACAGGATGAAATATTGCTCAGTCCTTGAATGTAAGATCTAGGAGATCTGGGAAATTCTGGACCAGAAAATGATCATCCACTTCTTTGCTTCCCATAGTCACCCACAGCTGAAGGAATGAATGTGCACTGCTGATCTTGGATCACTTGAATCTTGCAGGAACACAAACCACTGCTGAGGAAAGAGACTCTGGCCTTCAATAGCACCAAGTGGTCAGTGAGTACTGGGCATATTTGGAAATGGGAGATGGGTAGTTGCTGAACCCTTTTGTGTATGAAAAACTTATTGGGAAACCATGGGAAGACCTCAATGGAAGACTGTGCATCCCCTAAAGGCCCCCATGGTGGTTCTCTCAGGCTTCCAGGCATGATCATATATGGTCACTTCCTTCATTCCCACACCTTCTTGCTTGGAATAACTTTTTTTTTTTTTTTACTATAAGGCTTCTATTTTTATCTTTAACACTCTCTCTCTCTCTCTCTCTCTCTCTCTCTGCGTGTGTGTGTGTGTGTGTGTGTGTGTGTGTGTGTGTGTGTGTGTGTGTGTGTATGTTTACTCCCTGGAAGCTAGAGTCAAAGGGAGTTGTGAGCCACCAGGTATGGGTGCTAGCAAACAAACTTGGGTCTACTACAAAAAATAGCACCCAACCACTGAGCCATCTCTCCAGCCCTGAATGATCTTTTCTTCTATTGATTCCAGAAAAATAACAGTTTAGCAAAGTGGATTAAATCCAGATACAGCTTCCCCCTCCCCACACCTTCCCACAACAAGTTTCTGGAAAAGTGCAATCAAACACTGCAGCCCGCTTCATTGATTTTATTTTCATTTTTTTATTGAAAGCTTCATCAAAGAAAACAGAAATTGAAACCTAATATCCACTGATCTACAGAGAGCCCAGGGAACAGGGGAAATGGTGTCTAACTTGACCATGATATACATGAAAGAACTTAAAGATAAAACCAGAAACGCCATAGGATTACAGAACTCTCCATGACAGTCCAAGACAGCAATACAAAGATGCCCTTAAAGAAAATCTCAAAATGGTATTTCAGAAGGTCCATGGAGTTGAAGACAGTTAAAACAAAGCTTTTAAAGAAAAAGCCGTGTCACAGTTTTCTTTGAAACTGAAGTACTTTCATCCAGAGCTTAAAAATTAAGATTCCAATGATATTCTTAAGTAAATGGAGACACTTGCTTCCAGAATGGAGAACAAAGTGATTTCAGATACCCAATGTCTCTTTGAAATAATTTTACTGTTCCTAACAGGGATGGAATAGCTTACTCCTTTTCACATATGAGGACATAACACATTTGGGGAGGAAGAGAAACCAACTTTATTAATAATGTTGGACCAGAGGTTTTAAAGTCCAAAGTGTAACACTAATATTACACTTTGTGCTTACATACACAATGGCCATAAAATTATGCCCTGGAATATGAGTGACTCTCAGTCTTAATACAGTAATACCGATTCAAACAGGAAAAACAACAAAAATGAAAATGATTTTGTGGTCAAAAAGATTTTAAAGGGGGATAAAAATGTACATTTAGCCAAAACTATTGTTGTTTTCTCCTGATGGAAATTGTGTTGACTTTCTTTCCTGGTGTTGAGTGTCAGTAAAGAGAATGAAGCCAAAGTAGCTTTGTTTTAGGGGAGCCAAGTTTGTTGTTATAATTTTTCCATTTATGTTTTGCAAGAATTCAGCCAACTCTTGATTATGTGTGGTGGACAGGAAAAGGACATTATGGACTGTTGGAATTCATAGTGTATAATGTGTGGATATTGATTTTTCAGTAACGATTAAAATTCCCGTGATAAATCAATACTTGGGAAGCAACATAGACTGGAGTGAGTTGTTTTCAGTGGTTTCTTCTGCCCATCTTTGGGGTGAAATGCTCAGGTTAACAGGGTCAGTCATTAAGAAGAAAAGACAAAACACTCCCAAGTTAGTCAGTCAGCCCTTGTATATTGACAGTGATTGTTTGTTTCTTTGAAACTCAGAAAATGGAGCAATGTTAAGAAAATCTCCCAGGCGACCTCACAATTTTCCCCAAATCCCCAAGCTCCATCTTGCCTCTGTTCAGCTTGGAGTCTTCACCAGTGAAACGAATTCCTCAGCACATTATTCTCCTGCCCAGAACAGCATGGCTGTTACTGACTAGAAGACAGCCAACCCTTTCTGTGACAGCAACTATATCTGTATGTTACAAGTTAGGGGATCAGCCCAAAGACAACAGAAATCAGTAATAAGTGCTGAACCCAGCCTTCTTAAATCATGGGGCCATGTCCAGCTTCTTGCTTAGCTTTTATACCTTCCTGAACTCCAGGTTATCACAAAGAACAGTCAAGACAGATAGCATTTGGTTGAAGGGTCCCATTTTGTATGGGTAAGAAATATTAATCTCAAGTTTGTCTCAACCCACATTGCAATACCACAACTGTAAAATGAGTTGATCCATGAACTCCACTATTCCTTCTCAAAGAGGAAATGGAATCAAGGAGACTGCCAATCCTGCCATCCCTGGGGTTCAAGAGAAACTTTCAAGGCCAGTGGGCTCAGAAAAATGTTTAGCATACCAGTCCCAGTGGCAAGAAAAAAAGAGATCTTATCCTTTACTCTATACTATGGTAAAAATAAAGTAGATCACAGTTCTGTGACATGATTATACAATGTTCTAATGTGATTGCTTCCCATACCAAATGCCATTACAAATGACTTTCAATTCCGTTGTCTCACTAGTTTGGAACCATGTATTTTCCATCAAAACCCACTTAAGACTTACTCTCCATTTTCAGCGTGTCTGCAGTTGTTGGCACACTGGCACGAATGAGACTGGATTGTCAAAAGTATTTTTAGCCTATTAACATCATAGTCTATGCAGCAATCCCATTGAAACATCTCACTTGAGAAGAAGATGCAAGGATCCTGTTGAAATTAAATCCCATTCTTCGATAAAGGGCATTTTTAAGTCAATAAAAAAAAGATGTGTAGGTTTTTTCATAGACATTCTAATCATTAAACAAAGATTTTTTTGAAAGAACAAAAACTAAGCACACATTTTTAATCTTCAGCACCTGCTGATATTACCATTAGCTCATACAGGTTCTATTCTGGGGTCCTTAGGAGACACAGCCACCAGTCACCACATACTCTGCTTCCCCTGATGTCTTGTCATTATTCAAAGAAACCCACTTTCCTGACACATTAGTAGCATTTAGATGACATGGTGTTTATCTTGTTTGGATCTTGGCTTTAGTTGCTTTCCTAATTTGTCATCCAAGACGTGGTAATGAAAGGGGAAAAATGAAAACATCTTGACAATCTGAAGAATTAGAATTTTACTTCAATTTAAAAAATAACTGTAGTCCTAAATCATATGAGGACTATCATGTGCACTGCTGACTAGTTTGAGATTGTGGGGTCTGTGCCGCACACATTGTGCATTTGTTTTTGGGTCAGGGTTCTTGTTTTTATTACAATGTTGTACTGTTATCTGACAATGCCTTTTCTTTCCCCGATACACTGGACTACCGAAAACAATTCTTAGGTAAAAATGACAGAGAAAGGGGGAGCCAATTTGAATACGCACATTTTTTTTTCTTCTTAAAGGATTTCATGGAATGGCACTATAGAAACAGCCCAAACATAAAACACACACAAACACATAAAATGACATAATGATTTCCTTTGGACTGAGGTGGCTTAAAAGGAAAGAGATTATGAAAATTTCAGAGCTGAAAGAAATGTTTCAGAATGTATATGTAAGAGCATGAAGTTAACCTAGGCACCTTCAACAGCCACATGGTAGCTACCTTGCAGCCTCATTGTTAGATATGCAAATGAGACTCTCTTTGTATCACATGAATACATGTATTTGGTACTTTTACAGAAAGGACAAGAAAGTATGTTGGTTTCATATTCAAATGAATGATGCCCAGGATAATCCTTACTTAAACAAAGAATTGAGAGAGGGTGAAGGAGAAGGAGAAACTGTAGTCTCGTGTGAGTTTTCTGAAAGCCCCTGGAACTTGAGGGTTTGTTTCCCAAAGACAAAATTCAAGTCCACCCTTCCAACAGGTGTCACTGAAGAATGCAGACATGTCAGGTTCCTTCCAAAGCACAGAAAACTATTAGCATGAAGGTGAAGCACAGGATTGCTCTGCAGTGTGGAGCCATCACCTTGGATACGGTCTTGTCATTAGTTTGGTGGCCAACATATGAAGTCACTCTCTAGACTTGAGCACTCAATTCACAGGTTGCAAAGAAGAGAATCGGGGTCTAGTGAGACAGTGGACTTTTGGGTTGGGGCAGACTCCTCAGTTGTGGGACTGTGATTTGCCTTGTAGCTTGTTTTGTTTTGGAGAGCCTACTCTTTCCTCTCTGGGGCTTGTGTCTTTCCTATGTACTCAGACAGACAACCCCTGAAGAAGGAACTCTGCCTCCTTGGTTCAAATTCTTCATTCAAAAGCAATTCTTCAGAATGGTTCCATGAACAGAGAGTTCCGTGCCACTGTCTCTAGCTTCAAGCAAAACCATGTAAGTAGATCCCAGGTACGATAAGTCAGAACTATTAGGATTTCTCACTAAGTCACTTTCGATCATTTCTAAGCCAAGTTTTGCATTATTCCAAGTGCAAATGTCTCCTTTGGTTTTAGTGCTGGGCCAACTCTAATTCTTTCAGTTCTTGTTGATAAAAAGCATACAATTTATTGATTGTCAACGAGCATGTTAAGAGCTTGCCTCTACTGCACTAAAAGGAATCTTCGATCTTAATGGCCTCACTTATCTCAGATAATTAAACTGAAATTTAAAAAGCTCTGTGTTGTCTCTCCTGTCAATATCAAGATATGAAAACACAATGGGAAGAGGGAAAAGGAAAACATCCCCTTCCCAAGTACAGAATCAAGGTGTCTATTCAAGATGGGCCAGTAACAAAATGAAGGGGAGAAGACAAAATCTGTTTATGTTGGTGTTCGGAAGGAAGACGATTGTAACCAATGCATGAGTACTTCTCAGGGGACCAGGCCCCACTGCACAGAACATCACTGAGCCTTTCTGACAAGTGGTCTTTCAGACATCTTTCAGAACATGTTCAGGAAGCATCCTTAGTCTGCAGTTCACATGAAGACATTGCAACCTCTTGAACAAAGGACCCGGTGTATCAGTGCTCATCCATCCACTGCTGAAGAGAAACAGACAGGAGCTAGAAAAGCTCACGGGAGTGAAAGTCACCTGCTTCCATCAATCCATCAGTTCTCAGATTCTTCATGCTTGAACTGCTGAGCACAGTAGGTACAAACTTCAACTATCAACAAATATACATTTCTAGAAAAACAATTTTTTTTTTGCCATATGTAAAACACTAGTGGAAGGTAGTTGAAATGAAGTTAGAACTGGTCCGGCCATGTAGGTCAAACAAAACTTTAAGGAAAGAAAAGCAGTGTCTACCATCACGACTGTAACAGGGTCTCACTTCATCTTTGGTATAAAATAGGCCATCCATAGGCTGCAATTGACCACAACTAAGAAAGACTACAGAAATTGTCAACAATTTCTCTATCTATTGCTTTTTTTGTTTTTGTTTTGTCTTTTTTTTGTGTGTGTGTTTTTTTATTTTATTTTTTTGCACTTTTTGACCGTAAGCTTCTATCTACTTAAGTTTTGTTTTTAGTGCTCTTACACTAGGTTTTGCAATGTGACAAGCAAAGCTGACTAAAACCTGACAAAGCTCATAGAAAAAACTGCAGATAAAAAGCACTAACGCTTTCGCTAGCAACCACGCTCTGTAAATTAAAAAAAATTTGCATTCTGCCCCCCAAACACGCATTATTTCTAATGCAGTTGTTTTTAAACCAAAATGAATATCTTTACCATAAAATGTCTTTTAGCCTTCTAGAACGACTGTGTCAAAGTTCATGAGAAGTCCCAGCATTTCCCAATTCTTGCAGTTGCTGCAGTTTCTTTTAACAACAAATTTTCTTCAAATGAAGAAAAAGCATTTTCTTTTAAACTGTACAGTTTTTTTCCACCCTAAAATCTCAGTCTCCATCTTCTATGCCAGTGAAAGCTGGCACAATACTTCAATTCTTTCTGGATTTCTTTTTATAACAAGACGTTGACAGCATGCCTCGCGAGCCTTGACGTCCTTAAAATTAAGGCAATTAAGATTCAAGATAAACCTTACCTAAATATTTCTAAGAAAACATAAAATATAAAGAAAACAGCCCAGTAGGTTCAATCAGGAAAGGAAAAAGAGGAAAAAAATAGCTTAATTACTGAGGAAAATAATTTCCTTATATTTCCGGTTGCCCACCTCTTGACATCAGGTTTTCTACTAAAATAAAAAACAAAAACCAAACCAAACAAACAAACAAAAAACTACTTACACCTCTAGGCAAATTCTGACTTCAAATGTTCTTCCACAGAAAACATCAGCTTTGATGTTTACCCTCCCGCCCCCTTTTCTGGGATTTGTTTTCCCTTTAAAAAAAAGTATGACAAAAATAACTGTCAGACCACACGAAGGAACCATTTGCACAGCACATAAAAACCTTGTTTTCTTTGAGTAAAGTATAAAATTAAAAAAAAATAAAAATAAAAGAAAAAAGCTTTCCCTTGGCGCCTGTGCAAACTGGAGGCCGACTAACTTCTTGCTCAGTGAAGTGTCTTCATTGAAGGTAAAGGTTCAGATGGACAGCCTCACTTCTGTCTATGGTCTGCAAAGACAAATGGAGAAGAGGCGTCAGTACATCCAAGTTTATCTTCTGTGGTTTCCCATGACATCTTGTTAGAAGAGCCCAGGCTTCTCCACTACGTCATACTCAAAGAAGCAATGGAACAAGTAGATTAGCTTATAATGTCACATTCTGCTCCTTTCATATAAATGCATACTCAAGCAAGAGGTCAAGCTTGTAAAAATCAAAGTTGATGGACCAAGAACATCTTCTGATTGTCAAGAAATAAATAATACAAAATATACCTCCAATGTACACAGTGAGTCATCCCTTCTGCTATGGCTTGCTTTGAGTACCTACTAGGACTTCATGGTTGGTAGCTTGGTCTTCAAGGAGGGCAGGGGGAAGTGATGACAGGACCCTAAAGAGGTAGAACCTCTCGGCAGATCACTGTGGTCCTGTTTAGAAGGCATTGATGCAGTTGCCATGACATTCTGAGTTTTGACTCAGATATTTTTGAAGATATACTTATTTTGTTTATGTGTGTATAACTTTTTGTTTGTATGGATGAAAATGTTCCACATATATGCAGCCCCAGCAGAGGCCAGAAGAGGGCATCAGATCCCCTGGAAGTGGAATTAAAAGGTGGTTGTGAGCAGCCATGGAAATGCTGGGAACCTCAGCAAAACCAGCAAGGGTCCTTAACTGTTGAACTATCTCTCCAGCTCTGGATTCCAGCCTCATGCAGCCCATGCTGGCCTCATGTAGCCAAAGACAACCTCGAGCTCTCAATCCTTAGATTACAGGCATTTACCACCCGGCCTGGCCTGTGAGCTGATACACCATTTTGTTACAAAAGAGGAACTCTATCATTCTTTATTATTTGCCTCACATCTCATCATGTGAGAAGTACTACAAACTGTCACTATGATGCCATCTGCCAACAGGACTCTCACAAGAAGGCTGACAGATAGATTTCACAATTCAGTGTTTCTCTCAATTGAAAGGGCTGATCCCAATGTACTTTGACCTAGATCTACGAGGGGTCTTCCCAACCCTAATTCTGGTGGATAGTGGCAAATCTCTTTCATCAGTGACCTAATTTTCACTCTTTGGAGAATTGTGATCACATGATAACTTTAAATGGGCAGGCGGGGGTCCTTAAGACTTGAATTGTAACTGGAAAGGCGCAAAAGTGGAATTTGAAGCAAAGACTTCAGCCTTTGCACCTGAGACTATAACTTCACTTGCATACACGCTTTATGGGATCTGGTTAATTAAAAAATTATTTTTAATCTCATTATTATTGTTTTATATACATACACACAGGTAAACACAAACACACGCTGAGTCCATTTTTATAGTTTGTGTATACATAGTTTTAGAGCTGACCACTTTGTACTGGAGAACCAATAATAATCAAAGAAGAGGCTATCAATTTGAGATGGGGGAGGGTGGGAGGAGATGGAGGAGGAAAGGGAAAAATGATGTGATTATATTTTAATTAAAAATGTAAAAGAAAACTCTAACTTTTAATTGGGTGTGTATTGTGTGTGTGTGGCCCTGATTTGAATCTCTCACCTCACGGGTGGTCAGCTGCTATCTGATGAGAAATGCCAGCCATTAGCAAGTACTTAAAGATCTGCATATGGAGATAGCTACATATCTCCTCTAGCATAATGACCCTGAGCAAAGGGTTTTTCAGGTAAGTAGGGGCTTGTTAATTAGCAGAATGATGCTGAAAAGGAAGTTTTCCAGTTTGTGAAATCTACGGTATTGAAGAAAGCTAAGATCACAAGGACTGGTTAAAGTATTTTAGAGATATTTTTCCATTACACTGGAACAGAAATAACATGCATTCTATATATTTCATTTTGTAAGTGTGCATGCATGTATCCATATATGTGTATAGATGTATATATTTAAATCCAGACTCTGCATGTGAGAATAAAGATGTAGTAATCGTCTGTCTTAATCTGGCTTATTTCACTTAATATGATCACCAGTGCAATCCATTTCTCTGGAAATAACATTTTATTTTATGGTTGAATAAAATTCTATTGTGTGGCTATAGACCTCATTTCTTTGTCTGTTTACCTGTTGACTACAGGTATAGTTGGTATGCTCAGCTTCTTCATGATTTTAGGAGTGACAGGATGACTTCATTAACGAACCAAAGGTTGGCAGCGAACAAAACTCTACAAACAGGTTCATCTGAATACTCTCCATTCATCAGAGATTTAGTCATGATCCAGAAAGTTGAACACTTTGCACACAAAGGCTTCTCCATATATATTTCCCCACTGTTAGTCTCTCCAGTTTTAAAGCAGAGACCTCAGGATTTAATCTACATATTTTCTCCATACAAAGCCAAATGTAATTTGCTTTATGGGTGATTAAAAATTTTTCATGAGTAATTCTGAATACTTAATTATTACCTTTGCCATTTAATTCCTGAGCAGGCCCTGTATCATATATTTAACAATATTCTCCTTTTCCACGACCATTTACCTGGATGTTTAAAGTCAGCCTGCACTGAGAACGTCACTGTAATTGTTTAAGAGATTAAGAGTGGAGTGTTGGGTCACAAACTAGTGTCAGGTGGGAATACTCGATTTTCCCAAGACTATGTAACAGATTTATTTTTAATGACTGAAATGCTTCTCTTGAAGTGAGCACCCTCACTGGCTCTGTTGAGTCATGTGACTTGCATTAACCAATAGGATAGCAGCCAATGCATAGAAACAAAACTAAGTGCCTACTTTTGTTGGGTTTACTTTCCTGCAGTCCTTGGAATTCTGACTGTCTGGAAATTAATTTGTTATAAAATGAGAAGCATATGGTCAACCCTTCCATCATCCCAAACGAGAGGGCCACAGATGACCAGGTACTCACATACAGGACCAAGTACAGCCAAGACCAGAAAATGTACCCCCTGAAGCCAGCTGGAAGCAACCCATATGATCATGAGCTCAAGAAATGCCTACCACTAAGTTTATGGTGATTTCTGTGAAACCAAACCAAACAGAAACACTTTGAGAAAGGACTTGCAGATTTCTGCTTCTAGAGAAAGGAGCTTGGCACAGCATGACTTACTTGGATTGTTGGAAAGAGTATGCAGGTGCGTGTTCATTGGGTGTGTCCACTGCTAACTGTTGCTGCTGACCACTGCTGTCCTGGGATGAAGGGGCCACCGTCTGGGGAGAGGTATCAGCAACAACACCCTGAAGAGGCAATCAGTACACACAGGCCTTATTTGTTTTAGCAAAGGGCCCTCTCTAGATGCAGCACAAAAGCCCTTCTTCTATTGGGCTTGCAAAGAGAGAACTCTCAGCCACCGGAAACCGCAGGATCGGAGCAAAAGAAAATATCAGGGTATGCTTGCATAATGGTTCATCCTGTGATATTGATGATACAACAGCAGTAAGCTGGCCATTGCCATCAGAAGTCCTGGGAAAGCTCTTATGGTCAGAAAACTATTTTAACTGTGGTTGTATAGAGGACTCTGGCCTCAGTAAAAGCCATCTACTTTTATGGTCAGAGGTCTCTTACAATAATCTAAGCAAGTTTTTAAAGATGTATTGTATTTTTATTTATGTGTAGATATGCATATGTCTATGTGCATATACACTTGTGTGTGTGTGTGTGTGTGTGTGTGTGTGTGTGTGTGACAGAGAGGCAGGGGAGACCACAGAGGCCAGAAGAAGGTGTTAAATCCCTTGGAACTGAAGTTGAAGATGTTTGTGAGCCTCCTGACTTGGGAGCTGAGAACCAACTTGCTGTACTGAAAGAATAGAAGGAACCATCTTTCTAGTTTCTTACATAAAATTTTTGTTTTCGTTGTTGTTTGTGTTTCATTTTAGACAGTGTCTCCCTGTGTAGCCCTGGCTGGCCTGGAATTTACTACCTAAACCAGGCTAGCTTGGAACTCACAGAGATCCACCTGCATCTGCCCCTATCTCTCTCTTTTCTTTTTCTTTCTTTCTTTCTTTCTTTCTTTCTTTCTTTCTTTCTTTCTTTCTTTCTTTCTTTCTTTCTTTCTCTCTCCTTTCTTTCTTTCTTCTTCTCTTTCTTTTTTTCTTCCTTTTTAAAAATTGTTTTATTTTGCTTTGTTTTCTAAGACATCAACAGGCATTCAGTTAGAGGCTTCAGAAAAATCAAAGGAGAAGATGAGAGGTGAAGAGAAGGGGGAGGGAGAGAAGGGGGAAACAGCAGCTGCAGCACCTTGAAGAGGGCTAACCTTGGATACCTGCTGTGGGTTCTATGTCAAATACCCTTGTTCTGTTGTTCCTCATCAAATACCTGCTATTTTTTGTACTTTTTAGAACCTCTGAACAGGATTGGTTTGTGATCTGTCAATTGACTGATTGATAGATGCTAACCAATGTCCATCTGGTGTTTTTACATGAACATGACTAAAATCTTTTCTGCACAAGCACAGATTCAAGGTGGAACAGTAGAGGATAGTTATAGTCTGTGCTCCTCCTCTCCACTCCAGATCTATCCAGAAAGGTTTCTTTCCCATAAGCTGCTTTGTTAAATGTGTCTGTAACTCTACACCAATTAAAGGCTCTGGCCCTTTCCGTAGCATATTCCTTTGGTGTAGACATTCAGAAACGCAAATATGTGATAGAGGTTTATGCTCAAGGTGCTTGTAGTGTGTTGACTGTCAATTTTCTCATGACATAGCTGCCTTTTAGTCACTAAATATAGCAAAAGCCATGTAATCGAATCTCATGTCCTTGAACTCCAATTAAAACCTGTTTAACACCCTAATTGTCATGCTAGAAACCCCATCCAACTACTGAGGGATCTGGATGCAGAGATCCATGGCTAGGCCCCGGGTGGAGCTCTGGGAGTCCAATTAGCGAGAAAGAGGAGGGTTTATATGAGCAAGAATTGTTGAGACCAAGGTTGGATAAAGCACAGGGACAAATAGCCAAACGAATGGATACACATGAACTATGAACCAATGGCTGAGGGGTCCCCAACTGGATCAGGCCCTCTGAAAGGGTGAGACAGTTGATTGGTTCGATCTGTTTGGGAGGCATCCAGGCAGTGGGACCGGGTCCTGTGCTCATTGCATGAGTTGGCTGTCTGAAACCTGGGGCCTATGCAGGGTCGCTTGGCTCGGCCTGGGAGGAGGGGACTGGACCTGCCTGGACTGAGTCTACCAGGTTGATCTCAGTCCGAGGGGGAGGCTTTGCCCTGGAGGAGGTGGGAATGGGGGGTGGGCTGGAGGGAAGGTGAGGGGGGCAGGATGGGGGAGAACAAGGGAATCCATGGCTGATATGTAGAACTGAATTGTATTGCAAAAAAAAAAAAAAACTGTTTAATATACCATTATTTTGGATCCTACATCTAAGAATTTAAAAACACTAAGGGTGTGGTGGCCTCAGTTTCCTAAGCCATACAACAGTGCCGTGCTTGTCTCTGGTGCTTTCTTTACTTGGATTCAAGCATATATTTGTTACACACCAGAAGTCAATCTGTAAACATTTTCAGAGATCCAACTTAGTTAGCAAAAACCTCCATTGATCTCAATACTGGTGGATTTTCACATGGAGAAATACACACACTCTAGTTACTGGTTGTGATATAGAGAAGGAAAGATGAACTCGAGGAGGTATATTGATTAGTTTTTCAGTTTCTAGCTGATGAGAAGCAATGCCCACAAATGACAGCAAAGTACTTGGGCATTCAGAGATGAGGGTCTGTGGTTTAACTAGAGACAGTACCTACCACCATCTATGTGTCTCAGTGCCTTCCCCTCTTCTCTGTAACTTGATAGCTCCATCCAGTAAAAATGAGAGCTGATGAAAATGGATTTGTCCCAATGAAAAGAGAGAAGGAGCTTTACTTCCATTCAGGACCAGATGGCAGCATTATTCATGATACCCACAGTGATTCAATTACATCTTTCCTGTCTATAGGGAGCTAGAGTATATTGGGTTCATTCATTAGAACAGTGGACTTTTGTTAATTTCTTTCCTGGGGTACTAGGGATGGAGCCCATAGCCTTATACATACTAGGTAAGTGTTGTGGGATTGAACTACACTCCCAACTGAAGCAGTGATTCTTACACCACCCCCAACTACCATCCCCCAGACGGGGTTTTGTTTCTCTGTAGCCTTGGCTGTCCTGGAACTTGCTCTGTAGACCAGGCTGGCCATTAACTCAGAGGTCCTCCTGCCTCTGCCTCCTGAGTGCTGGGATTAAAGGCATGTGCCACTACTGCCTGACTGGTTCTTAATTCTTAATATCTACTGGCATCATCTGGGAGTATATAAATATGCCTAACCTAGCACATATTCCAGTAAAATAATTAAGAATTTCTTGTGATCAAATTCAGGAATCCATATTTTTAAAGCATCATCCTCTAATAAATTTAATGGGCAGAAGAGTTTGAGTATCGAGGTGCTGTATCATTTTCGTGAACATCTGGATTCTCAAGGGATCATCTTAAAATGAACACCTATGTAAATTCAGGAAACAGAGTGGTGGTATCTGATACCTTCCCTTTCTAACAAACTCCTAGGTGAGATTGGGATGGTTAATTTTAGTTCTCAGCTTGATGGAAGACTTGGGAGATCATCCCAGGACACACCAGTGTGGGGGGTATCTTGATTGCATTAATGAGGTAGGAATGCCAACTGTGGGTGCCTGGACTATACAAACTGAAAAGGAGAAGCTGAGCAGCCGCATGCATCCATTGCTCTCTGCTTCTTGACTGTGTATGTGGTGTGAGCAGCTGCCTCACTTGACTGACTTCCCCACCACAGGATGGACTGTGAGCTGGAACAAGTCTGATCTCTCTTCAGTTGTTTTTGTTATGTGTTTCCTTTTATCAAAGCAACAGGAAAAAGAACTAAGACAGAGATCCCATGGTGCTGGTCCAGGGGCCACTCTCAGGAGCAAGTTGTAAACTATTCTTCCTCTCTGCTCATGAGTGTTTGTCTTCTGCATTTGATGGGGAAGGGTTTGTTCTTTGCACTGCTGTCTAGGCCTGCAAAATATTCTTCCTTTATACCTCTGTGTAAGATAGGTTAACTGTATGTGTAAAGTAAAATGTAGGTTTGGTTGAGCCAATGGGCAGACTTCTGTATGCTCAGCTTGCAGGAATGTGTTTTACAATAACCTAAAGATTTTATCTGAGGATTCCTTGGATTGTGGGGACCCGTGTGGCTCGTATGGCTGAGATTTCTCCTTCCTAGCCTCTTTGTGTTTACAGGATGGACTTACTTCAATAGAAACAGCTGTCGGAGGCACAGGCGTGTACTGGGGAATGTAGGTCCCTTGCATAGGAGCAGCAGTCATATACTAGAGAGAATCAAAGAAAAATGCACATGAACTTGGGGGTTGCAAATATAGAAAAAGTTGAAAAATGAATAGCACATCACTGGTTAAACTCCATGTTCACCAGCAATGAGAGGTCTTATCAACAGTGACTTCTCCTTGCTGGTCCTATGTCGGTAACAGGCTCATCTTCTCCATATCAGCACAGGTCGTTTCAGTCAACCCCCTCAAGCTGTCACTCCAGGCACTCTATGTAAGAGCTGCAATATCCCCTATTTCCCATCTAAACACAAATTCCATAAGTGTGATGATGACGTCTGTTCTTGCCTCCATTTTGTTGCTAGGACCTATCACACAGTAGACTCCTGACAGACATTTGTTGAATGAATGAATCATAATAATTTGCAAGCAATGCTTTTAACTAAAAATGTTGAGGAACAATGAAAGAAATATTTACATAGAAATACATCAATGGGCAAATGTTATGTGCCCATCACCTTTGTTAATATAAAATAAATGATCAGGGATGTCTCCCAGTGGTAGAGTGATTGTCTAAAATGTACAAGGCTGTGAGTTCCATCCCAAAGCGCAGCAAAGGAGAGAGGGATTGTTACAGATAATGCTGACGTCTCTTTTGCCCCCCTTTCCCATTCCATCCTCAAGGCATCATGAGCATTTTCTTTCCAAAACCTTATAAGAAAACAGTCCAGAGGGCTGAAGAGATGCCTCAGCTTTTAAGATTGTATTTTCCTCTTGCAGAGGATCCAAGTTGCTAACAACCATTTATAACTCCAGCTCTGGGAGAACTGACACCCTCTTCTGGTCTCCACAGACACCTGCACATACTCTCATTCTTCACACATATACACATAATTAAAAATGATAAATATTCTTTTTGGGTAAGTTATGATATTTTCTAACAAATGTATTATGGATAACAGATACATATTTTCTGCAGTGAAAGGGAAAATTCCAGAAAAATTATGTGGACACACACAAACACACACACACACACACACACACACACACACACACACACACACACACACACACCTGCATACACATACACACACACCCCTACATATACACATACCCCTACACACACACACACACACACACACACACACACACACACACACACACACCACATACACACATCACATATATATGAATTAAGTATGATCTGTATTCCCATTTGTAATGTATAGTCTTCCTGTAAATCCACAGCCCTACACTCTGTAAACTAAATGATGGAATCGTTTGTTTTCTGGCTCCTAAATCTCGAGCCATGTCACAAAGCTGCAGAACTAGAGTCAGGCCATGAGGCAAGGTTTCCTCTCTCACAAAGGCTCAAGACTTGATTCCACGGAACATCTGAAGTCTGTGGTCCTGTATCCTTCTCAGATGACTGAGGTCAAATAGTAAAGCCATAGATAAACAGTAAACCCAAACTACTTGTTCCGTGTCTACTGGTGCAGGAGGTGTACTGTGAATGAAGGAAGACCAGCCCTTCAGCCGGGGTTGTTTAATATTCACAGACGACACTGGAGCAATAAAGTGACTTTGAAATAAACTCATCCTCATTCTAAACTAAACACAGTTGTATTGTATGTGCTTGCTAAAAATAGATCAGTCTTAATTAAACAACCCTAAACCAAACAAGCCACACCATTATCTTCGGTGCTACACAGAAACAAATAACCAAGTTTATCTCCTAGCCATACAAAACCCCATTTTGTAATTTGGACAAAGCAACTGCTTGAAAGGCTTAGTGCTATCTGTACTTGCACTCTGTATCACCAGAGACACTTGGGCTCTTAAGGCAACCATTACTTTTCTCATGAAAGGATCAGAATGCCATCTCTTTGAAGATGTGAGCTACGTTTTATTTGTTTCTGACTCTTCCTGATTCCTAGGACCCATTTAGGGATCATTCAGTGGCTGAATAAAAGCATCTAAGTCGAGACACTGGGAGGTAGCTCAGTCTGTAAAGTGTTTTCTGAGTAAACATAAAGATCTGAGTTCAGCGCCCAGCACCCACATAAAAACACAAGTGCAGTGCTGCACATCTGGGGGATGCTGGGGAGAGGGAGACAGCAGGAACTCAGGAGCTTCCTGGCTGGCTTGTCTAGCTGAGAGCAATGAGTCCCCGGTTCAATGAGAGACTTTGTTGCAATAATTAGGGTAGCCAGAGCTGGAGAGATGATTCAGCAGTTAAGAGCACGTGCTGTTCTTGCAAAGGACCGGGGCTCAGTTCTCACCATCCCTAATGGTAATTCCAGGGGATATGCCCTCTTCTGACTTCCACAGGCACCAGACATGCACACTGCACAGTACATACATTTGGGCAAAATGCTTATACACACAAAATAAAATAATCTTAAAAGATAAAAAACAAAGTGGAAGACTAGCAAAATGTCTCAGGAAAAAGGTAAGGCACTTGCTGCCAAGCCTGATGGCCTGAGTTGGATCCCCAGGACCCTCAATGGTGGAAGAAGAGGACTCAGTCCCGCAAGTTTCAGGTTACACTCTAATCATCGCACACTGGCATGTGTACACACACACACACACACACACACACACACACACACACACACACACAACTATCCAATTCAAATCCCATATATTTCATTACAAATCAACATGCTTCATGGTCCTCAGTCATTCTGGACCCATTCAGATAATAATTCCACACCCACTCCACGGTGTTCTTGTCCACTCTTTAAGCAAATTCCCCAGCCAGTCCTCATTATTTTGCACCCTAGAGCAGACAGTAAATATTCAGATATTAAACTTCTTTCAAATTTTCAAATAAGTATAGAACATTAGAGTGACATTTTGACAAATACAATTTCCCATCTAGAACCCTTTGGCTAGGCATGTGTTTTGTCAAGCAAACTCCCCCAGGTGCTGCTGGAGAGATGGCTCAGTGATTAAAAGCACTTGCTGCTTTTCCAGAGGACCAGGACTTTGTTTCGTTCCCTGAACACACATTGCATGGCTCACATCCACCTGTAACTCTAACTCCAGGAGATCTAATTCCCTCTCTGGTCTCAGCAGTCACCCTGTTTGTGTACACACACACACACACACACACACACACACACACACACACATACACACACACACACACACACACACACACACACACACACAAATAAAAAGAATCTTTTAAAAAACACAACCCCCACCCCCTGAAATATTGCTTGTTTAAAGAGAAAACCACTCTGGGTTCCAATGCATTTGAGCAGCATTATATAATATATCCACTCCTTTGACAAATAAAAATGAATATAGTAATTTATATTAAGGAGCTGAAGATTCATGCTTTTAAAAAGCTTGCTTAAAGCTGATTAAAACAGCATTTGCAAAATGTTTATTCCTATAGGACCTTTGCTTAGACCGTATTTCTAGGGAACAAATATCCTTTTGTCCCTGGAATCTTCAGCAGGTTTGTGTCTTGTGGATCTGGATTTGCTTCAGTGAAGAATGGCATTGTTGGTCTTCATGTTCCTAGACTTTGGGGGTCCCTTGCATTACTTCCCATCTACTAGCAAGAGGATCAACATCATCTGTCAATTTGAGGGAGGCAGTGACAAAGACACCTACTGGGGTATTTTATACTCTAGAGTTAGTAGTTATGAACTTTGCACCTGGACCTAATAACTTATCATGCATGACATTTGCATGAGGTGGTGTCACCAGTCCCCAGGGACAGAACACCACTTTGATGTCCTCACATTCTGCTGTGTGTGTCTGTAAGGAAGCATGTCTGAGACTTTGATATGGGCATCCAATGAATTATTTAGACCTCCCTGCCAAGCTAAAGCATTCCCAAGCAGTCTGGTTAATGAGAACATTTTATGTGATTCATAGCTAAGCTTCCTCAAATGACTGGATTATTCAAAGCCCCATCTGTGTTTTGCCTCTGTAAAACTGAATCAATAAGTCTTCATTCCTTTGCTAACATTCAGTTGGGTTTAGAACATGGCAAAAAAGTGATTGGCATATGGAGAGATTCACACTCAAATTCTCCTCAGAAGTCTGAGTTTGGAGAGTGGTTCATTTTACAGCAAGCAGTTAAGAGCACTGGCACTCTTCCAGGGACTGGGGCTTGGTTCCCAGCACCCTGTGGTGGCTCACAACCATCTATAATTCCACTTTCATGTGATCTATTGCTTTCTTCTGGCCTCTGTGGACAGTACACTCATGTGCACAAACCCACATATTCTAGCTCTCTCTCTCTCTTACACACACACACACACACACACACACACACACACACACACACACACACATCACATCACAATTAAACAATTTTTTAAAATTGTTTTAAACTTGAAAAGATGGTAACATCTCACCAATTGACTTTTTATGATTATTTCTTTATCATTCATTTGTGTGTGTGCGTGTGTGTGTGTGTGTGTGTGTGTGTGTGTGTGTGTGTGTGTGTGTATACAGGTGTATGAGCACATATCTGCATATATGTAGATCCTAAAAGACAACTTTCATTATCATTCCTAAGGAACTATCTGCCATTTTGAGAAACAGTGTCTCTCAACCAAGTAGGGTAGGCTGACTGGCTCAAAGATCAATGAGTCCCCAGCTCCCCTCTGCTGAGATGAGGAGAACATATCACCACACCTGGCTTTTATTATGTGTGTTCTTGGATTTGAACTTAGGTCCTTATTCCTGAAACACAAGCCCTGTACCAACTGAGCCATCTCCCCAGCCTCTTTTGGGTGCCTTTCTATCTTCACACATGCAACCTCTAATTTTCTTTTGGAAAGACTAACCTATTACACTTGGCAATCTAACATCACTGTTCTGAACAGAGACAGTAAAGATTTTTACAGCCCAGGATGAGCTCCATTCAGTACAGAGAATTCAACAGGAATATCTTTCTGGATACTTTTCTTTTGTCACAGAAAATGTAACAGGCAGATCTTCTAAAAATTAAGGGCAGATTATGTTAAGTAAGCCAGTGCTTCGTGGATTAGGACTCTTAAGACTATTATCTGTGG